ATCGTACCACTATTAGACGCCGAAAAGAACTCGGTATTGGTCTTGGAAGTGATCCAGAGCGCCTGAATCGCTGGATTTCTTTCGATGTGACCAAAAAAGAAAACTAAAATTACAACCCAACTTCGAAAGTTACTTTCTATTCACTCAAAATATTGTTAGTAAAGGTTGATCATTTTTTTTTTCTTCTGTCAATTTGAGTCAAATAAAATTCGTCATTCGAGATTTTTTTCATTCAGAAAAAAATAGCAAAATTCTTTTACTTTTCGTTTTTTTTCTTTTTTGCTTTCTTCATCAATTTCTTTTCTTGGAAACAGTCTTTTATCGCAATACTTATACATAATCCTGAATCGTAAATGGCTCGGAAATCGGGTGAACGAGCATCTGCTAAAGTGAGATATAATCCCACCACACCTGTGACTGTTCCGAGCTTCCGATATTTGCACCGGCGAATCCCTGGTTCTTGTATCCCAGCTGCACACTTGACCGGACATCAAGCCACTTATCAGCAAGAACGGGTCACGTGGATTAAACTCAATAGCCACAGACGTTGAGGCTGACTTCAGAATCACCAACGGATTGTTTAGTTGTTCTGTGGTACAAGAGGAAATGAAATTTCTTACTTCGATATATCACATTCAGTTTTTGGATTAATCAATATTGACGATGTTACATTCATGTAAAATTAATTACATATAAAAGTTTGTTTCTTTTCTTCTTACATAATTAAAAGGAAAATCATAAAAATTATTTTCTTTAAATAATATACAAATAGAAATTAAATACCAATGTTCCAAATATAAGCGTTCGGGCTCAAATTTGATGGTAATTCAATCCGACTTTTGAAACAATATGCGACAGCTAAGTGGTATGTATCCATCGCCCATGATACATGATTAACAGGCCTAACGTTTGTTTCTTGATCAGAACATACTCCTTCGATTCTAACGAAATAAAAATCCTGAAAAACTGAAATATTTCCTTGATTCCCTTCTTATCTATTGTATGTATCAGGAGTTAAAGCGTTTCAGGAAACGTATGATTTTCCAATCGTGACCACCATAAATTGTGTGTAAAGGACACTTTTACACGAGTGTTCTCGTCACATCGTAGTAGTCACGTACTACGTATTGGCATTCTTAGATTTACAATCCTGCTATTCCCTCTAGTCGAATCATCACATTGTAAGGATTTGTAGTATTGTGCATCACAAGATAAAATAGCTAAATTTTATGATGAAGTATCACCTCGTTAATCATAGTGTAAAATAGTGTTAAACTTATTTTTATATTCTTTTAAAAGTGTCGTCTACAAAATTATATTTATTGTCGGAATTTTGTCAATGCTTTTGTAGCTTATATTGTTTAGAATTGTATTAACTACATTCTATAAGCCGTATAAGGTATTTTGGGGTAAAAATGTAGTTAATGACTTTTAGGTGAAGATGGAAGGGCTATGTGTGTGCGTGTGTGTATAAGGTTATTTTGAAAATGATATATTAGATCATACCTCATACGAGGAGAGATCGTTAATTCCGTAGGTATCATGTCATCGAAGTAATAATCGTGAATATTGATAGCGTTATTTTGCTTTATAGCGTGCTCCATCGTCTAAGATTATAACGATATATGTAATAAATAGATGTGATTCAGGAGAATTTGTATTCTGAAAATGAAAACTATTTCACTTACCTGCATAAGTGGGTTCATAGCTGCAATCCAATTGTCACTCTTGGTAACTCGTCGACGGAATCTACGAACCACTTCATCATCAAATGGATTTATTTCTTTCGGCCAACTACCTTCTAAATGCAGTATACACGAATTTTTTAATTTTTCAGCTTTAGTCTGGATCTGATTATATTAAGAATATTAAATCAAATAATAATATTCGTTTATAAAATATTTAATACTAATATATATATATATTATATCTAACCTCGTGAAGTGCAAATTGTTTTGATTTCTGAGTACTCTTATCAATTATTTTCTGATATATGTAATTTTTATTTAAAGTTGGATCTGGAAAGATATTTTCTTCGACGGTTGGTCCGATATCTTCGAAAATACATTGTTTCCCAAATTCATGTCTTTGTTTGACGTAGACATATTTGGAATCCATTATTATGTAATTGTAAAAAAAACTTCTCGTAAAGTATTAAAAATATATATATATATATATGTATATAAAGAAATGAAAAAAATGAGAACAAAAGTTATGAGAAAAATATATCAATCATAAAAATAAATTCAATGACATCGCGTCGAATTAAAAAAATTGTCGAAGGTTATTCGAGCAACTGTCATTTTATCGTCGATTTACATCTGTGTTCGTTTCGATGCACACAATGCAACAGTAAAATTTATTGGTAAGAGCAAAAATAATGAAACATCGGAGAAAACTCGATCGCGATTTAATCTTCCAATTCCTACGCATAAGTTTAGCATCACATCTGTTGAGATCGTCCTATAAAGGGCGTAGTCGTTATCGATGGGATTAAGATCCCTCGAATAGCATTAAATTTACTAATCAATACACCGTACAAGACCGCAATTCACGTAAGCTATGATGGTACACGATTTCTACTAATGAATAGGAGTTAGATGTAGTTTTCATTAACATTATTCTATTCGAGAAAAGATATCGAGAAATTGAATATATGAAATCCGAAGCTTCTTAACAAAAACAGTTAGTAGAAATTCGTAAATCATTATTATCCTCCATCTATTAGTTAAGATAAATTTATTGATCTTGAACGAGACTTTAATCGGTTATTGAGCAAATTCACTATGTTTCAAACGATTCTACGAAGATATCTCTCTCTATCTCTTTCTTCCTCTTTCACCGTTCTGTATTCTATTTCCTCAAAATCATATTCAAAGATTCACTTCCGAGAGATATCCTACGTAAGCTAAAGTCTCAGCTATTCGTCAATTCGTCATAAGCTTCTCTTTGGGTATGATATATGCATAGGTTCAGCGACGTGCCATTACTCATCGATCAATTAGCTGATATTGCGAGTAACACGATATCTCCGTGGATGCTGAAACTACAGATCAAGTTACCTGTCGCTTTGTCGATTCGATAATTTCTCGACTGATGTTACGTTCCTACGTATCGTAATTGTATTAATCAATATTGAGAACTGAATTAATTAGGAAAAAAAAAATAAAAGCTTATTTATAATATAATAAAAACAAAAGTATATGTCGAAGATGGATCATATTTCATATTCGTCGTTTATATACCTTATTAATTGTGAAGATATTAACGAATTTTTATTACGATTGGTCCCATGATTTTACCGTTAAAAGCATCTATTAGGAAATAATGTAGTATCATTTTCCATCGTACTCGATTTCACATTATTTGAAAATATTCGATAAACTCGTAAGAATGCGTTAATACTTCACATAAGACGAACCAAAATGAATATGTTGTAACGTGTTCGTGAAACGAGCTTCGAACGAGGAAATGAAATCGATATGAAGGCAATGCGCATGATAATTGTCCAAAGATTGGAAAAACGAGACAGACACGGATAAAGAATAAAAGCTTTGAAACAGATAATGAGAACGTTGAGAACTGACAACGAAAGAAAAAATAAAAGGATATAATCGATCATAAACGTAACATAAAATGAACTCAACCTAAGGTTATTCATTTATTTTAAGAATATTTTTTTTTAAACGATTGTCTTTGATAATTTCTATCGATACAAACGATAGAAACGATCTTAATATTTTATAACAATCTTATATTCTTATATTTCTTTTATTCTTCAGAAAAAGATATAAAGCTACTAAAAGAACTTCAAAGTATACTTATCTGATTGTCTTGACATTTACTTATTATAAAAGAATCGATTAAGTTTTATTATAAAAGATATTATTGAAAATAAAGAAGAAACTTTTTTACTTCTCTTTTTTCTTGTTACTCTTCGTTTGCAAATTAGAAGGGAATGAGCACTCTAAAGGATATTCATATTATTCAATATTTGATACGACATTATAAAAAAAAAAGATATATATAGAAAATCGAATAATGTGTAATTATTAACTATGTGATCATCCTTATAATTATTTAAAATAAGTGATTGATCTAATCTTTAATTATCTGAAAAGTTATTAATTTTCTTACAAATATTAAAAATAGAATAAATGATTATATAGTTAATTATCATAAGTATTACAAATATAATAATATACCATAAAAAAATCTTCGTATGAACATTCCGGATTTCTTTTTTAGATTACATTCTTACATTTAAATCAATGTTTCGTTGTTCGGGTTTAAAAACCATGTAAGATAGAGTAGTATGGGCGTAAAGAAATAAAGAAAGAAGGAAAGAAAAAAAAGGCAAAAGGGGTGAAAAAGAAAAAAGATGGTCTCACATGAAAAAGTACGGGCTTCCGCGCGACAAATGACAAGAAGTTCCTTCATTTATCACTATTTTTCTTCCTATATTTTTATCGGTTATGTTGCATCGCTTACACGAAAGTGCATCAGAGTACATTGCTTTATGGATACATTTCCCCGTTCGTTGCGTTCGAAATGATAAATCTCTTGTGCGTACTAGAATCGCGCCGAGAGCTTACTGCTTTCAAAACCTTCAACTACAATGAAAACATGTGTTAGAAAGTTTTGATTACATTTCTGGATGATAGATTCGTCACTGTGATCGAATAACTTTCGCGCGATCGTATCTGCGAATTTGCTAGATATACGGGAAAACTGATTATTTAAACTAAATGTACAAAATGGTCGATATACTTTTGTATAATAAAAAGAAAAGAAATAGAATAAAAAAAAACAAACAGTAAAACATGACAAAATATTAGAAAATTCATGAAAATTCGTTAAACTCGTAAAAATTCGTAACCAAAACGTTTAATTAAAAATAAAATTTGATAAAAGCAATTTTTTTTCTTTTTTTGTAAATATAAAGGATTTGTTTGAAATGATAAATATAAAGACTAATATTTTGAAACATTCGATTGCAGATATTCGATGATTGGTATCATCTCGAGCATCGATCAGTAATGAAGAGATCGATTGATCCACACATGGAAGTACATTCCAGACTGATGAGAGATTCAAGAGTTCGTCGAGCAGAACAGCAACGAGCAAAGTCGCGAAGTAAACGGGATTTAATAATTAAACGCGGTCCGTCCAATTCGCAAGTTATTTTAAATGATGAGAGATGGCCTCAAATGTGGTACCTGGTAAGTTACTCTTTTACGTTCTACCAAACTTAATTTTAATAATGTCGAAACGACTGAACGTTCATAGAACATATTTCATAAACGTGTCTCTTGGTAGCTTGTGTATATCTAATTCATAGCATCGTGCTTAATATTCGTGGTATGTCTAATACGACAGACGTCCAAATTCTAGGTGAATTCTTGTTTGCACCCTCCTTCCGAGATATGAATAATTACCATTTATGAATTGAACTTGTGATATTAAATACATACAATGATTTCTATTATCAAACAGAATATTTTTCTTTAGCTTTTATCGAATCTGTCAAAAAAAAAAATAATTTAATAATAATTATAATAATAGTAATAATAATCATTATCTCATCATTGTCAAAATAAATATCAAATATAAAATACAAAAATTTATAATCATATTTTATATGTATTAATGATCGTAGGATCGAAGAAGTTTTTTGTTTTCGTTATTCCAACGTTTCTATTATATAAATCATTGAAATCGATCGTATCCATTTTTTATTTACGTTTGTATTGTATTATAAAAAGGAAGGAAGGAAAGTACGTGAGTGGATTAACGAGAAGCATTCTTTAAATCTTTACTTCTCGTATATTCGAACCAGTCTTGAGATTCGTGGAAAAATAAACGAAATGGAGCATGGACGTGCCTTGAAAGACTAAACAATCTTACCGCGTTAACGCATTTTTCCCGTTTCTTTTTATTCGTTACACTCTCTTGTTTGTTCTATTTCCCGTTCCTTTTAGAACAGGGGAAACGGTTTGGACATGAACGTTCAAAACGCTTGGGCCGAAGGAATCACCGGAAGTGGCGTCGTAGTCACGATTCTCGATGATGGCTTGGAAAAGGATCATCCTGACCTTTACAAGAATTACGTGAGTCTTACCTCCTTATTTTATTTTTTTACTATCCCTATAATTTTAAGAACGTGAAAGAAATGATAAAGGTAACTCGTGTTAGTTCACTTTTTGTTGTTGTGCTGTTATTTACTCTATTGTTAATTATTATTTACAAATTACTCTAAATTCTGTATATAACTATATCAAATTAGTATTAATATTCAAAACTAAGGGAATTTCTTCAATTGTTTTTTCTATGCAATAGTAAGAAATAAATATGAAATTTTGGTCATTCATTTACTACCCAAAAATACAATAGTAATGTTTTACTAGAAAGATAAATCTGTCAAGATGTTTCCGTTGAAATTGTAGGATCCCCAGGCGAGTTACGATGTTAATAGTCACGACGAGGATCCAATGCCAAGGTACGATCTTGTGGATAGCAATCGACACGGTACCAGGTGTGCTGGAGAGGTTGCCGCGACTGCTAACAATACTGTCTGTGCGGTTGGTGTTGCTTTTGGAGCAGGTGTCGGTGGTAAGTCTTACTTCAAAGATTCATCTTCATTGTCTCCGAGCTAGGAAAACGTTTCGTCTCTAGTTGCTCTCGACTTTCAAGAAAATTCTCCTTCTCACTTTACTCTCCATCTCTATTTCTTTTTTTCTTTCTCTCTTTTTCTTTCTCTCTTTCTCTTTCTCTTTCTCTCTCTCTCTCTCTCTCTCTCTCTCTCTCTNTCTCTCTCTCTCTCTCTCTCTATATATATATATATATATATATATCTTTTTTCTTTATACTTGACAAAAACTATTCTCTTTAAATTGGATTTGCAAATTTTTATTTCGTAATATTGTATACAAAATATCATTGGATTTGAAAACAACATTTGTACACCCTAAAATATCACAATATTCTACATTGTATATTTTTCAGAGCTCTAAGAAGATTTTCATTTAACTCTCTTTCTTTCTCTCTCTCTTCCTTTCTCTTTTACTGTATACAATACATTTCACATTGATGATATCTTGACGATAGTTATTATTCTACTTGCAACAAGGAGGAAGAAAAGAATTAGTTTTTTGTGAAAGGTATTAAAAATATTATTCCATGATATAATATATACAGTATACTCTGAAGAATCAACAATTTTAATGCTCAGATACTTTCAACTCCAATAAGCTTCTATACTAATATTTGATACTACTTACTGCTTTATTGAAACAACCGATAACGTTTCTTTTTACTTTCATGAAATAAAAAGAGAGAGAAAAAAAAGTCGATTAGAAAATATTAAAGTTTGCTATATTTTCTAGCGTGTGCTCAAAACATGACCCAATTATGATATGCAAGTGATCTTTATCCCGATAGAGCACTAAAATTATAATCCGTTAGTTATCCTAAGGAAAACATACTCAAAATTGAATTCTATCCTAATGAGATCGTTATTATTGAACTCAAAGTATGTCGTGTTAGTAAACTATACGATATCGTTTCTAATCTCGTTTCTAAACGATATCTATTATAGAATCTTATCCTATCGTTTTAATTTTCATATTATCAGAAAAGCATATATATATATATATATATATATATATATATATATAATAGTAGTGTAACTATGTTTTCAGGTGTTCGAATGTTAGACGGTGACGTAACAGATGCCGTTGAAGCCAGATCCCTCAGCTTAAATCCACAGCATATCGATATTTACAGTGCTTCGTGGGGTCCTGATGATGATGGCAAAACAGTTGACGGTCCTGGCGAATTGGCAACAAGAGCCTTCATCGAGGGAATAACAAAGGTTCGTTTTTCGTGATACGTGTCAGTAATGATAAAAATAACCTGATTCGAGAATTTGAAACAATTGATTTTATCTCTCATTTTACGTTAGTTCGATCTATGTTATTATAATAGTGTTGAATAATTTTAAAAACAATCATTTAAATTAAACCACTTATTAAAGAATGTCGTAAATGTTCTATTTGAATTTGAAGATACGTATGTGCAAGTTGTAACATTGCGATACGTTTGTTCACTTTCATCCTAAGTAAATATACCTAAAAAGAAAATCTAACTGAATGAATCTTATAGTAAACTTGAGGGATTTATATAAGTCACTGGGTAGTTATGCAAGCTTCAACAAATTATTTCAAAGTTTTTCTTCTAGTTAATAAATTTTGTACTTCATGTTCGCGTGATATTATTCTAATGAATATATATATCTTAATCGGTAGTCGATAATAATTTTCGAGTATTTTCATTGCATACGCGCGACTCTTCATCTATGTTTCTTCTGATTTTCCACCGTTTGTTCTAAGAATACCTAGAAAAATCGTAATAGCAAGTTTATTAACGTTAAAGGAAATTTCCTAAACGTTCAAAGTTCTCAATGGAGGACTGAGTATTCCTTCAAAACGTCATAAAAGTAGGATATACATACAGTCCGCCAATACTTTCCCTGAAATTTGATACAAAAGAATTTTAACGTAGAAAATATACATGTCACTTTCTCTTCTCTCTCTTCTTCTTCTTCTACTTCTTCTTAACACTTTCAAGAATTCGAGAAGTTCGACAACTCTGTGAAACTCTGTGAAAGTTTACGAGCTTTTCTTAATCCCACAGACAGTCTCGAATCTTTTCGAAAAACTTCTTTGGAGTAGACACTTCCTTATACGCGGTACTTGTGTTTTACTGTTAAACGATCAATCGATTGTAGATTATAGCGATGCTAAACAAACATTCTAGTCGGGAAGTTCAATTTGAAAAAATTACCACATTTTTTCTTAAAGAGTTCCGTCGTAAGATCGTCAAGAACTGACGATAAACATAATTTGATTAGAAAGAAAGAGAGATAGAGAAGAAGAAGAAGAAAAAGAAGAAGAGAAAAAAGTAAAAGAGTGATCACAGTGAAGTAGTCCTCGAAGCTACCAGAGCCACCTTAATAGACTCTGAGGAAAAGGTGGAGGTCAACTCTTGGAAAGTTTCTAATTGGGTGCTTTTAAGTTACCCGAACCAAAATTCTCCTGCCCGCACGCATTACCATTTTAAACTCACTCCACTGCAACGTGGCCGTAAGTCATATGCAAATATTAAAAGGTACTTTGGGTGCGAAAGCTCGTTAAAGCATCGTTCGAAAAAGAAAAAGAAAGATAAAGAAATTCTAAATTTTGCTAAAAAAAACAGTGAAAATTATTGTTCAACTGCGTCAACGTCAATTCTTTCTTTTTAATAAGTTCGATTATTAGCTGTTTTTTTTTTCAGAACATCAATATAGTAAAAATATCCCTTAATAAAGAGTTACGAAAAGTAATCTTACAATTAAATTTAACGATAGAAAATATTTTATCATCGTGGTCAAACTTATTTTATTCCAATCTATACGATAGATTTAGTTCATTGTATTATACTTTGTAATCAAGTTTATTATATTATTCTTCGTTGAAAGAAAATTTGAAAACGCTTATATAAAAATTTGAAAAAAAAAGTCCTCTCTTTCCATATTGCTTGTTTCTGACATGTAATATTCTTTTTTTTAAATGTCTTCACGTATGCGCATATCGATTGGTAGTCACGGTCGAATAAATTTTCCTCTTCCTTCTTTTTTTTATTTTGTTTTTTTTTTTATTTTTCCTCACTAGTAGTACCAAGCTCTACCTTCGGCAATGCCCTTCGGATTTTCCATAATCCGCTAAATAAATTTACTCGTGTATGAGAATACACTTTACTGAGTTTTGGTCCGCGATTTACGGATCCCGCTTTAATACATATTCGAACTCTTTTTACGTGGATACTCAAGCGAATATTTTGCGACTCATTTTTTATTAATACTCATTCAAAGGATGCCGATTCGTAAAAACAAACAACAATAAGTCAAACTTCAACTATTTGACGAAGTCATCTGTAAACGTAGTATAGGCGAATGATTTGACCAGTTAATAACAGCTATATTATACAGTTGCGGTAATTTACGTGGAATTACTGGACGTGGTTTATAGCTAGATGATTTTCTATTATTCGAAATGATATTAAATTATATCATTGTTTAGTTATTAGGTCCTTGAATAAGTTCTCGCTGTTCCATCAAGTATTGCAATAGCAGTACTCCGTGCATGAAATTTCGAATGGTAACGTACTTGCAAAGAAGTACTATATCTAACCTGAAATTTCAGTGTATGATAGTTCACTTTAGTGTAAACAAAGTATTGTTTTATTAGTTTTGAAAATGCCTACTTTTGTGCCAACTAAAGTGTATTTTCGGGGAATTTTATTGCACTACTTTATTAAAAAGAAACCGGCAGCTGAAGTAGGTACATAGAATTCTTGTTGAGAATTATGGTGACAATGCTCTGTCGGATACGACATGCAGAGACTGGTTTCGACGCTTCAAAAATAATGATTTTGAACTTGAGGATAAAGAACGTTTTGGCGCACCAAAAAAATTTCAAGACTGAAAATTGGAGGAATTACTCGTTGAAGACCGATCTCAGACGCTAGCAGAACTTGGAAAAACATTACAAGTTGATGAATCAACTGTTTAAAAACGTTTAAAAATGTTAGAAATGATCCAGAAGCAAGGACATTGGGTGCCATATGAATTGAAGCCAAGAGACATCGTACGGCGTTTTGTCACATGTGAACTACTGCTTAAACGACAGAAAAGAAAAGGTTTTTTGCACCGTATCGTGACTGGCGATAAAAAATGGATACACTATGATAATCCAAAGCGTAGAAAATCATGGGGTAAACCTGGCCATGCATCAACATCGTCCGCAAAACCACATATCCATGGTTTGAAGCTTCTCTGTATTTGGTAGGATCAGCAGGGTGTAATTTATTATGAGCTGCTCAAACCGAATAAGACTATCACGGGGGATCGCTATCGATTTCAATTGATGCGTTTGAGTCGAGCCCTAAAAGAAAAATGGCCGCTATACGAGAAGAGACACGACTAAGTGATTTTGTTACATGACAACGCCCGGCCTCATGTTGCAAAACCAGTGAAAACCTACCTGGAAACGCTTCGATGGGAAGTTCTACCCCACCTGCCGATTTTCACCTATTCCGTCCGATGGCACATGGCTTAGYTGAYCAGCGTTTTCATTCTTASGAAGAAGCTAAAAAATGGGTCGATTCTTGGATAGCCTCAAAAGACATGTCGTTTTTCTAACGCGGAATTCATATACTGCCAGAAAGATGGGAGAAAGTGGTCTCTAGTGATGGGCAATACTTTCAATAAAACATTTTTGTTCCTGATATTTTAAATAAAGTTTTTATTTTGTAAAAAACAGCGAGAACTTATTCAAGGTCCTAATAATTAATATCCATATTAGAAATTTTGAAGTTATGTTTAAATTAGACAGCTTAACGCTCGTTAATTTTTATTTAACTTTAGGATCGATTTATTTTACTTCGTTATTATATTTTGATTTTCAATTTGCATTTTAAATAATCAATAGAACGGAACACCGATATCGTCTTATGGTTAGTAAGATAGATAGAAGTTCTTTTGAGAACGTCTTCACAACCATCCTTTATATTGAATGTAGTCTATATATATACGACGCTGCACTCTCTTTGTCCGCCGAAAGCGAAGAGAACAATATTGAAGTTCCTTTCAGAAAACAATTTCGATGATCCTCGTCGTAGCGAAATTGCGTTCGTGCTACGCTTCCCTCGATACTTAGCCCCTGGGTAAAGCTGCTGAATGTTAACATTCCAATTCTCAAAATTTTAATTAACTTTTACAACGAATGAAGATTTATCAATGAGTTTTAAGCTAATGAAAAGTATAGATCGATATAATTTTACTCAGGAATATCCTAACTTCAATAATATCAATCAAAAACTTTTTGTTTCGGTGTTATGTAAACGTTATTTGGACATTTTTACACGGGTAGAGAAAGCTAACAAGTTATACAACGTACTGTTGAAACTGTAAATATTAATTATCCACGAACTATTTTTCCATACACTATAACAGATTTATAATTTATTTTTTAATGCAAAATGATTTTCTCTTAAGAACTTATAAATGTTATTTTCCTATCTTGTAAGAATCTAACTTTGTATGTAATAAGAAACCTATATAAGTAAACCTAGATTCGCTTTAAGTTCTCTTTAACGGGTACTGCGTATGTACTTGATAATTTCTCTAAGAACACTTTGGTCGTCCAAATTTAGTCCCCTTACGAGAATTTCATTTGAGTTTTCGTTGTTTGTAATGGGAAAGACATGTTAATTAAATTGACACGAGAGAGATAATCATAAATATTAATTTCAATAAAGACGTACAATCATAAACAGAAATACATGCATAACGTTGAAAAACGTTTTTATCATTGATTAGCTAATAATTTTGTTAAAATTTTATTAATATTTATTAATACTAATAATACTACCAAGTGATGCAGAATAATAATCTAACAAAATTAGATATAACAAAAATAAATACTATGATTATTCAATACTTTAATACACTTCTTGTATATCAAAATTGGATATTTAAAAAATAAAAACAAAAAGAAAATGTGTTTTAACTTGTATTTAACATCCATCAATATAGCAAACGTTGCATATTTAATGAAGTTGAATCGAAACTATAGAGATATAGAGAGAGATCGAGGATCTCTCATCAATGATACGAGTTATATCATTAAGCCTTGTAAACTTAAAGACGTTTGATCAACAGGGACGCAATGGGAAGGGTTCGATCTTCGTGTGGGCCTCCGGTAATGGTGGTAGAGACCACGATAACTGTAATTGCGATGGATACACCAATAGCATATGGACTTTGTCCATCAGCAGTGCAACTGAGAATGGATTGGTGCCTTGGTATAGTGAAGCTTGCTCTTCTACCCTCGCAACGACCTACAGTTCTGGTTCGACTGGTGAGAAACAAGTAATCACCACGGATCTTCATCATCAATGTACAAGCAGCCATACTGGCACTTCGGCATCGGCACCTTTAGCAGCTGGTATATGCGCACTTGCATTAGAAGCAAATCGGGAACTCACGTGGAGAGATATGCAACATATCGTCGTGAGAACAGCTAAACCAGCCAATCTCAAAGCACCTGACTGGGTTACCAATGGTGTTGGGAGAAATGGTGAGTTTTATATTTTTTTGTGATATCTAGTTTTGTTACAATATTAAAGTTATTATTTCCTAAAGAGACTTCATTTCATAGCGATTAAAGTTGTTCGACAATTTTAACTCGTTAATTGTATATTTTTGCAGAATTATAAATCTAGGCTTAATATCCTATATAAAATTAATCGATATATTGTGGGGTTCAGATAGAAAAATAAAGATGTTAATGATAATAATATAATATATTTAAATATGATGTCGAACGGTATTTACAAAAGTTTACAAAAAGTGGCGCAAAAATACAGAATGCAAAAGAGTTACAAATATAAGATCGACTGACTGACTGACTGATTGATAAACTGACTGATTTGACAGAATGGCTGATATAACAGATAATACACAGACGGATAACAGACAGACTAAGAAGAGATACAGACAGACTAAGCAGAAATACAGACAGACTAAGGAACGCCCTCTTACTTCTTTTCACATATTTATATCAGAAATGAGCTACACCCCTTTGGAAAGGGAAGGAAATTATTAATCTTATTGACTAATAGCAGAAGGATCCAGCCCCATGGTCTACCGATGGGTACAGCCTATGGTTTTGGTAGGGGAAACTATGCATAAAGAAACTTTGTCTAGAATATCGGAATATTATTTCTTTGTATGGTATCGCATGTGTAGGAATCCGAAACCTCTCAAAGAGCCCAACACTGCACAAAGGTTTTCGTCGCACCAATATATCTCGATAATTCTTAAGTTTGTTTATGATTTTATGGCCCTCTTAAAATATTCCTCTTTATTTTTGAATGGAGTTTCCTTTCACTAAAATCGATAGCGTATTTAAACAGAAAATAAAATATAAAGAATAGAACTAACTACTAGTTTTATCGTCTACAATATATATATATATATATATATATATATATATATATTTATTACTCATGCGGGGAAAGTACTATCTTTTCGGTCGCTATTGGGGTCGGAAAGACGCTGTTTACATACTTTACAATAACAACACGAGTTTTGAGTAAAATAAATGTCAATTTGAGTGCGGAAAGTTTACTTGTCGCACCCAAATTTTACTTACCGCACGAAAATTAACGATAAAAAGAACACAATCAGAGTGTCAATATTGTAGACGATAAGATTAATATTTAGTTCTTCATTTATTTTATTTCTTGTTTAAAAAGGCTATCTTAGACGATAAGATTAATATTCAGTTCTTCATTTAATTTCCTGTTTGAATACGCTATCGATCTTGATGAAAGGAAACTTCACTCGGAAATTGGAGGGAAACGATATTTCGTTGTTTAAAAAAAATGAATTTCCGTTATGCAAATAAATTTACTTGAAATTTTTTAACTTTTTCAGTATTGTTCTATGGAGGGGGGGGGCTCCGCCCCCGGCCCCCGCCGGGGCTCTGCCCCTGGACCCCAAAATTATGTACCAAATATGTTCTTGCATTCGTAATAAAAAATAGTATATGCAACGAATGTGCAGTTGTTGATTGCCCACTCGAGCGAATGAGCGCACGAGCGAAGCGAGGGCGCTCAACTTTGCTCTCGTGCGTAATCGACAATTGCGCACTAGTTGCATAATATACTATTCTTCTATATATATATTTCATTAAATTTTATAGGAAAAAAAACGGAATTATGATAATTTAATTCTTCTATTACTTCTACTTTAATATAAACATAATATGGAACTATTATTTTTTATCATTTTATTTAAATATTAAATTTTGTTGTCATTATCATCGATAATTTTTTAGTTACCACAGGTCAAATAGATTTTATAAACGTTTAATCACACACCGGTAGTCAATACGTTCTCAATTTTTTTTTATTTAAACTACAGTTACTTTGCCGAAATGTAAAGCTTATTAATTTGAAATAAAAAAAAATAAGTCAATAGTGAGAGAAGAGAACTGAAACTCGGTGGTACGGTCGAAACTTGAATTTAATGGAAAATTTTTCAATCTCCAGCTTCTATCTCGACATTTCATTTTAAAATACCAAGAATTCAGGAAGACGGGAAGCTTGAATATCGCATATGCATCGGTATTCTCAAAAACCTATGCACAACAGTCCACATTAGAAATCTTCATTCAAAAACGTCAGGACTTTTTTTTGTCATTTGTACTTCGATTCCAATAGCGTACAATTCACCTTAAAAGCACGCGAATTCTCTAGTTTCGTTCGAATTTTTCTTTAAAATTCATTTCCCAATTTTTTTCCCTTTTTTTTTTGTTTGTTTATCTCTATTCTTCCTTTCTTTATCTTTCTTCCTTTTATTTTATATCAGCGCGTGTCTTTGATAAAGAAATATCCTAACGAAAAGATACCACTATACGAATGCGTTTTTTCGTTTATTTATAAATATAAAAATAATAATACTCTTATCAAAATGTTACTTACATGTTGTCTCAAAGAAAAATAAATGATTATTAAAATCTTCGTTAATTGAGAAATAATCTAATGATACATCTATCGATCCAGTGAGTCACAGTTTCGGGTATGGATTGATGGATGCCACAGCAATGGTACGTCTGGCTAGAAGATGGAGGAGAGTTCCTGAACAACATAAATGTGAAGTATCCGCCCCGCATTCGGGCAGGTAATTAAAACTGTTAAAATTCATGTGTCAATATCAACGAAATGTAGAAACACGTCAAGTTAGAAGAAAACTTGATCACATGCGAAAAGGATAAAAATCATGATGAACGGCAAATTAGATTTTCTTCTTTTTTTTATTATTATTTATTTCTTTAGAAAATATACAATTTAAATTTAAAAATTAGATATCATTTTGCAATTGTAAACTTAGTTGCTCATTGCTCGACAAAATATTATGGAGTTTCATTTATTTCGAGTAAACTTTTACAACCTAGTAGTTGAATGAAAAACTGATCCCTCTTTTTCCTTTATGATCGTAACATGTCAACTTGTCTGAAGAAGAAAAGATCTTGGGTACAAGATTTCTGTAGATTAGACATTCGTTCGAGGAAAACTGAAATCCTCTTGAAGCGAATATTTTCCTTGTAAAACAACTCCAAGGAAAATATAAGAAACGTAGTATAATACATTACATCACTCTCACCGTTCTCAGATATGGATTTCTATTCGTAGTTTTTGATGTTTCGAGCAAAGAAAAGAGAGAAAATAATGTCACTTCTTATAATACATCTTGAACATTCCTTTTTTTTTACTCGAAATAAGATGGAACAAATAAAATAAATAGTTTTTAGAATTGGAAAAATAAAAACAATATTTTATAAGAGAAATAGATAAATAAAAATGAAATAAATAGACAGTTTAAAGATTTTCTTCAATTTTTTTTAGGCCAATACCACCAAAGAGTCAATTGGTTCTGGATTTACACGTGAAGGAATGCAGCGGAGTTAATTTTCTCGAACACGTACAGGTAACTACCCTTTTTTAAATAATCCTAAAATGTTTTCAAACAATCGTTACATTTCTCGTAGAAAATTCTAGCAATTTGAAGTCTTTTTACCGACTTACCCAGATTGATTGGAATTTAATTACTTTTTTTCTTAATCAACGCTATATCCAACTCGAAATCCTCAATTCTTCCAATGCTAGGCGTTAATCAGTTTTTCATTATTCGTGATTAACGTTTTGTCAATGGTCTTTTTTAAATTAACATTAAATTTTACTTCTATTTGAATATTAACATCGAACAATAATGTAGAGTTTACTTTTTTCTATCTAAAAATAACAACTTATTGTAAACTTCTTGACGTGTTTCAAATTTTTCTTTCCCCATATTCAATTGCAAATTCAAAACTCTTGGTAAAATTAAATTCAAAAACAGGAAAGTTAATCAATATGAAATAACAACTATTGAATACTTTGAAGATTCAATTTATACGAAATCGGATTGAGGGGTGGTGTACCTATATCTATTTCACTTTCTCTTTCTGAAGTATTCTCAATGAAAATGTTCCGAAACGATTCTTAAAGCGTAAAGTGGCTTTTAGTATCGAGTACTTATTGTCGACCTGTGAAAAGGGTCGTTTCGTGTGTGAGTATTACTGGACGATCATTAGAAAGGGAAAGAAAGAGAGAGAAAGAGAAAGAGAAAGAGAGAGAGAGAGAGAAATAGAGCAAATTATGATACGGTCGTCTGGACGCTCTTATCGTAGGCGAAGGTGTCGCTGATGGCTTCGAGAAGGGGGGATCTTCAGATACAACTAACCTCTCCTCAGGGTACAAAGAGCACTCTACTAGCGAAAAGGCCACACGACGTCTCGAAGGCTGGTTTCAATCAATGGCCATTTATGTCGGTTCACACGTGGGGCGAGAGACCACATGGTACGTGGAAACTCGAAATTCACAACGAGGGTCGATATTTCGGTAAGTTTTATCATTTCAACATTTCTCTTTTATTCATTTTAACAAAATAAATTACTTCCAGAACATCGACTTTATATTTATTCGCTAAACAAGAAATACAAAAGCGTTTGTTAAGACTTTTTTATATTTATTGATTAATACGATGATAGAGATTAATGCAATAACGAATTGCAAGTTAATAATTCGCGTATAATAAAAAAGTACTAATAATAAAAGTTGAAGTATTAAAATAAATTTCATAATTCAAATGATATATTTAACAAACCGTTGTGTTGTACAATAGTTAGAAAATCATTGTCGAAATTATAACTTCCATCAAAATGAACTATGAATATAAATCATTAATGAAATAATGTTTGAATCACTTCACTAAATCAATCCGCTTATATATTAAAATATACTTACTTTTGCCTTTATTGTTCTCGTTATCGAACGATAACCGGGGATTTTATAAACCCTGGTAGATGTTGATATTCGCGTAGAGAACCCTTTCGGTTTCATAATTTCCCAAACGATATAACAGAATTCATGTAAATTATCAATAAATCAATGATGAGATTCCGTTCGTATGTTACTTTCAAATAGTCAAGAAAAAAAATAATGCAGAAGCCGATGGTAGTGGAGAATAGAAGGCATAAATAATTCTACTTCTTGAGCATGTGTGTGTAGAATATAACAAAAAAGGAAACTCACTTCGATTTCCAAGTCACATCACGAACGATCTGGTTTGGATCGATCAAAGTAGAAAAAGCAGACCGTGTCAGATTCAGCGAAACCTCCGTGTCTCGAAAGTCTATCGGTGTCAAGATCACGTGAGCTTCCTTATCGAGAAAACGCTGAGATAGGTCGTAACTTGTCTAAAAGAGTGCTCGCATTATCGTATCTAAAGATAATTTCGTATTCAAACTCCGGCCCCGATAGCTGGTGCTTCCGCTTTATTCTCGTTAAAGCATCAATGACGATGATACGCGGTCAAGAGGGATCGTTCACTGACGAAGAAGCTCGGCTAACCTTGTACAAAGCTAAACTTCAAGTTAGGATCACTTGGAATTCCATTAAAGCTGATAGTTACGCATAGCTTGCGTTTAACGCTAACTTGCTACTATTATAGTAATAGCACCTACCTAAATCTTTCACTTCGTCCCTACATTCAGTTTCATTCTCATCCTCAGCATTCTCCTATTCCTTCGTACATCAATGCGGACCTTGTGCTAATGTGTACACCAAAACGCTTGCAAGGTATTGTATCCAAGTGGTGCGCTATGTATTCCAGACGTTTTAGAGATTCAGGCAATTGCTCTTGAGCAATCGAGACGCGTCCTTGCGTTAATCCAAATTCCTACCTCTCCTTGGATATAGATGTTCATGTTTGCTAACGTGAATCGAAAATTCATAAACTATAATATGGTGGAATTTCCCATGTTCCATCTATACGAATGGATCCGATTAATCGATTCATAGAATCTAGTTTCGAATATCTATTGTATCTTTTTATTCTTTCCATATTTACTTGAATGCATACCACTGAAGTATAAATCAAAAACATGACAGCTTTCGGATATTTATCGTAAACCACAAATATTCTGTATACCGTTCTCATAATCGTTCTCTCTTGGCTTGTTTTCCTGCTGCTCTTATCGATGACGAATCCAGGCCGTGCGACACTACACGAATGGGCGTTAATCTTTTACGGAACATCGACGTTACCAGATCGCACGGAATATGCGCTTTACAATCCTGCCAGTATGAGTATACCACGGAGACCATTCGTTAAACCGCGAGAAACGACGTTCACAAAGACACAAAATTCGTTTACGGCATCTTCTAAAAGCAAACAATCACAGCATAAAGCTGAAAAGGCAGGTAGCCTTAGTCCACCGTATGTGGTCAATGCTCAACTACAATCACAGAGGAAAAACAAGGTTCGAGGACAACACAAGAACGGGAAATCCGCAAATCGTCCAACTCCCAGACCAACGGTACAAACTTTAAGGGGATTGACGTCTATAAGGGGTCCTGCTATAGCCGGAGAAGTTCGATTGATCACGTTTAGACCAAGGGGAAGGAGTACACCAAGCCCTATCACTACAACGACGACTGTTCGGACTAGTCCATCTCCCAGAATAAAAACTACAACGGTCTTAACCACTAGACAAAAAATCATCGAACCGGTCACCATTTCGTCACCGCTTCAAAGAGGTTTGATCCTGATGGAGCCAGCTGCCAAAGCAGCCACTAATAAAGTACCAGCGATCTTTCAACAATATCCCAAGATCCAACAGCTCTATCCTCTTTATCCTGTTTATGCTGGTGCTCGTGGAGCTGGTCAACAACACGCGACTAGAGCTAAGGGACTGGACTTATTACAAGACGAACAATTTGATCCTAGGAATCTACAGTTGGATAAGGGTACCCCTATATTTGATTGATGCATATGTCAAGATCGAGCTGAGTTGTTCCATCGAATAATGACGTAACTTACTTCGGGTATATTCATTCAATTCACGATCGAAATATTGGTCGGGAAATTTCTTTTATGATGTGTATATATCTATCTTGTTAAGATTATTATGATATATAATTGTCTCTTATTTTTATTTATATTTCTATTACATCGTTATCGTTATCTCAAGAACCGTGATATTTCACCTGTAATATCAGATATCAATATTAATTTATATCTCAATTTCGTGAATATTCAAAATTTCCTATTCGATAATCACATCGGCCGGTTGGTCAAAGATTGAAGAGTCTAATCGAGCAACAATTATTCATTCATGACAGAAACCAGGTCGTTATATTTTTCGTTGCCATTGAAAACGTTTCAGCCTTTATATTTTCAAGCGTCATTCGCGTTCGTGGATGCATCTCGGCACGATCTTTTTTTTTTGTCTACTTCTTTCGTTACACTTTGCATTTCAGTAGTGGTACAATGTGTGTAGAAAAAAAGACAATATAAAAAAAAAACAGAAGGAGGTAAAGAGAGAATGCATAGTAGTACATAAGCAAATATCCTATGGTCATTCGAAGTACCGAGGGATTCAATCTAGTAGAAAACTTACATTTTTACCTTTTTTTTATTTTTTTTTTTTTTCATTTTCATTTATTGTTCGCCGTCTATTCATTTGTAAGATGCACTTGGCCGTAATTGCTGTAATAGCCATTGGCTTTGTTTCTACCCTGATATATTGTCCTATACCTACCACCTTCTTCACGTTACCTATACCGTTATACTTTCCTTATTTTTGTTCGTTTCAAGCGTCATTTTGTGTATGATTTTATTTTCTTGTTCTTTTCCCGATAAGTTTAACCATCTTTGCTCAAATTACAAAAATACATTATTTTTTTTTTTATTACATTTATTTTCTACCCTTATCAACCATGCAACTCGCTTGATTATTTATTGATGTTTTTCCACGGGTAGACGTATAAATACTGATGCGCTTGTAAGAGTTTATTCATTCATGACGGAATATTAATGATTCGCTTGTTGATTGCATCACTTGCATTACTCATGTTCTCGATAAATGTATTATTAACTTCGTGTTGTTTACATGCATTGGACAAGAACCACCGATGTGCTATCGCCCTTGCTTGGTTTAGCTCTCCATGATTTGTTCGATGATTTTGCAATGATTATTCAATGAATGATAATTCAGCAATTTTTATATATTTTATATATATATATATATATATATATATATATATATATATATATATATATATATATATACATATATTGCGGTCAATGTACAGAATCCGGACATTCTATAGAATCTATACAATCTTCTACACGATTGGATATTGTCCTGACAATGTTATATATTTATATACAATAACCATATAGTTAATATTTAATTAGTAAATCAAAGGTATAGGGAAAAAAAATCAAATATACAGTCATTGAAATGAATTATCCATAGATTAAATTTATCGAAGAATGATTACAAATATTTTTTACCACAAGATTTTTCTCTAACTTTTCAATCATATTACGCTTGAAACAAAGTATCTTGTATCCATCATCGTATTTACACTTTACCATTTTATTTTCTCGAGAACTCGGTAAAGTGTACTCCTACACAAAGTTTTTCCTTTTTACAAAGAAAGATTTGGATGGTATATGTCGGAAGTATTACCTACCGCCACTTTTCCTCGTATGTTCACTTCGTTACGCCATTTCATTTCCCAACCTTCATTCCAATTTCACTTTTCTTTTAGCACCTAACAGAAACAACACACCGGTTATTCTCGTTACCAACGAGTAGTAGAAACATACAGAACGAGAAGAAAACTTTAATAAAAGAGAGCGAACAAGTTTGAGAAGGAGTGAGTGAGAGAGAGAGAGAGAAAGAAAATAAGAAAAAGAAATAAAAAGAAAATGAAAAGAGAGGAGTGGAAAGCAAGCCGTTTCATCGACGATTTGCACGATCCTCGGCACTTCGTAAAACAAACGCTGTTCACCCTCTTCGCTTCTTTCCCTTGTCTTGCTACTCACACCTTTCCCCTCTTCCTGCCCCACTCCAAGTATTTTCCTTTCCTTTGCTAGCTAGTCTAAGAAGTCATCCTGACTGTCGTTACTTTACAACCATCTTACACGACTGTAACAAGCGCGCTTTAATACCGACTTTACTGCCGCCCACGACCGGAACTGTAAACGGAAGTTTACAGTTTCTACTTCTCTATCTCTATCTCTATCACTATCTTTCTCTGTCTCTCTCTCTCTCTCTCTCTCTCTCTCTCTCTCTCTCTCTCTCTCTCGTCCAATAAGAATGGAGAGAAAGCAATCGAGAAGACTACTGATTCTTCTTTTACCCTTACGCTGTTCTTCTATTTTCTTTCTCTTTCTGTTTTTATCCTCGTTCTTTTTTTACAATTAGTTTTGCAAGCAGACTCTCAGCAATGAAAGTATCCTACCGACATCGTTGTCGTCGTTGTCGTCGTTGTCGTCGTCGTCGAGGTTTTACTAATTTCACCCAAGACGACGACATCGACTATGTCATTCCCCATTTCTTTTATATTTTTTTTTCCCCATTCGTGTCATCCTGTCGTGTTGGAAAACTTACGATCTTCTTATATCCACTATAAAAGCATGAAAGTGTACGATATTTTGTAGACACGGTTTATAATCCAACAGAAATTATTCATCAAATTTTAAAATCGTATAAATAAAAGGTAGACGGAAAAGTTCGATTTTCCTTTTTTTACCAAAATTCATTTTAACGCTTTTCTTGGTGGATTTAGGAGAAATATTTTATTTAAATTCTCAATGTCTGGATGATTTTAATTTATCTATCAAATATTATTTTACAATTAATTGTGAACACTTTTATGTATATGCATTTATAATTATTTGACTGTGTTTAATTCGTAAATGACATTTATGTCTTACTTGCATCATAAATCACCTAACATATCCTGAAAATGCTTGTCTTTCTTTCCATTTATACTGCCATTCAAGTATTTTAATTTCAGTCGATTTAAATCCGTTACGCTTTATACCTAAAGTAGATTTAAGCTTATCTTAAATTCACTGAAGAACTTTATGCTTACCAATCGAAGACTTCAGCACGTATGACACAAAATTGCGTTTATGAAGGATACTTAAATATGTGTGTAAATGTAGACACGTTTGTATATATCGTAAAAGCACCTGTAACTAATATAATATAGTAGTTTTCAAACTTTACAAATATTTTACTCTTTTGTCATCTATTATTATTATAATTTTTGTTACGAAAAATATGCATTTTTATTTAGTTTTCAAACTATTGTCATAGAATATATCACGATAATCCACTTTAGTTAACTTTATTGAAAAATGTAATAAGAAAATCTGATACTCTGAATAAACAAATATTCCAACAAATATGATGATAAGGTAATTATGTTAGATATTTTAGCTTGTTTTATGTGCAACGCAATAAAAAGCGTTTATTAATATGAATTTAATTTTTAAACAAAATTCAAATACCATTTGGTACATTTAATTTAAATAACATTTCATATACATATATATGGCTAAACTGTGGAGTATTTTTTTTTTCTAAGAAGAAATGTTAAAAAAAGCTTTTTATCTTTTTTAAATATCCAATCTTTTCGCTTGCTTAAGCATGCATTATATCGACCATGTAAATTATTTTACAATTTTATCTATAATGTATTTTTGTTTCGAAGTAGTACTTTTTCCGTTTATGCTCATTGCTCGTTGTTTTCTTTTTCTTTTTTTGGAAGATGTCGATAATATTTGATTGTCGATAATTATGGATTCTTATTTACTATAAATTGAGTTAATAAAATTTCTTAATATATTTACTTTGAGAAGAACGAGCAATGAGAGTATTGCAACAGTAGATTGCACACGAAAAGCGATTACGTTGTTTTAATTAAGGCATCAATCTGAACCGATTTACTTTAACACTAGACAGAGTTTCCAATTTATCGATCGAAAACAGGATGCAAATTGAATGAAAATATTTCGAATACGCAAGGTTAAAATCAACGATATTTCCATAGACTCTTGTTTTACATACTATCGATCGTAAAGAAAAAAAAATATAGAGAAACGAGTAAAAAGAAGCAACAAAACAAAACGAAACAAAACTACAAAAAAAGAACTAAAAAAACTCCCCCCCCCCAAAACTCGAAATAAAATAAAAACCAAATAGTAGAAGCGTAATCATTGATATCAAATTATTCGTCTGGTGAGATTTAACTATCTAATAAAAAAGATACCAAAGGAAAAACAAATTAATACTTTAACGATGTTAACCAATAAAAAATACGATCACTCTGTCTCGTGATAAGGTATTATCGAGTTGTATCATCGTTAAACTTTGTACTTATACAATATTACATTGATTATAGATACCCTTGAGGAATGGAAACTGGTGTTTTATGGTACCGAAACATCCTTGGAATCAAATGAAGACTTGGATAAGGACAAACCAAGCTTGACGAACGTTCAACCGGAGGAAATCCAAGGCAATACGGCTACTGATGCAAGGCAAAACGTAGTAGACACAGAAGGTGATCCTTGGACTGGTAGCCAACAAGTAGAACGAGTATCTCATCCTGAGGTTCAAAAACCAACAACAGAAAACCAAACTAACGGATGCACTAATCTCGAAGGAGGAAATGGCAGGTGCCTAGGTGGGTGCCTCATACTACTCCTTCTAGCCTACCTTCTCGTAGAGCCAACCTACGGATTCTCAATCATCGATCGTTCTCCTAAAATCGTGGACTCGAGTATTATTTCTAATTCGAACGTGATAGTTTCTACTATTCTGCTCGACTCCTCGACAACGACGAGAACGACGATTACTACGACGATGACGAATGATAAAAGAGTTGATGATTCGATAGGCGGCTCATCTAACAGTCCTTCGTGTTCATGATGACATTTCCTCCTGGCTTGATTCTATTAAAAAAGAGAAAATAAGTAGTGAACGTGAGTGTGAGAATGAATGACTGAATCTGTTGAAAGAAAGGAAAAAGGAGAGAAATTGGAAAAAAAAACAGAAAAGAAAAGAAAAGAAAAAAAGGGCCTGAGAAACAAACTCTTTCTCTCTTCTCTTTTCTTTTTTTTTTGCCCTTTTCCCCGATCCTTTTTTTTACTACTGATGATAACGAAGATACATCGTGAAGATACAAGACATCGAGCTTAAGAATCTTTTAAGGGTTCGTTCATACGATTTCTCGAACGTGTATTATCCGTATGAGTATCCACATACAGTGGACACCAACAACCCCCGCAAACAACCTCGCCTAACTTCTAGACGTATATCGTTTAGGATTAGGATTAGTCAAATTCTATGTCTTCGTCTCTATCATATATATATAATAAAAATAAAATAAATGAAAGAATGAAAAAAGTTAAAATATCGTGGTTAAAATGGTACATATGGTAACTTTGTTGTTGTCTAAAGTGATTGTATTGTAAAGTGAAGTATTATGCGAAGTGATTTTAGCAATTTTTTGTAGAAGGGTTATTATAATGTAATGGGTATTCGCTCTATTAATCGTTTCTTTTGGTCTTATGTTAGTCTCATTTTTTTATCTTGTACCGACATTAAATTAAAATTACTTAACCAGTTAACTGAGTATAACAAGTATACTTGTCATGAAGAAGTGGCAGGATTTTGTGTCATGACTAGTATACTCGTCATGCGTATAAAGTAGTGACCATCGGCTATTTAAATTGTAGTTTTTGTGAAAAACGAAACATATTCTTAAATTTCAAGATGTTTAGAATATTTTTAGGCCAGGCCGGAATAAGATAAAGAAATAAAAAATATAAAAAATTTAAAAAGGACTCATGCATCCCTGCATGTATCGACTGAAACAGCGTATTAGTTCGCATAAAAAATTTGCTTATATCTCTCAATCCAGGAATTTTGATGGTCTTACTAAAATTCATAGATATCAATAAACATTAGTGTAGGTATTGGATGGTAGAACCTTTTATAAGCCGTTATATTCGGAAATAGATAAATTTATTAAGTTCATAAAAACACATTAAAAAATATTGCATCAAAAAAAAAGATTTATTTTATAAAATTATCAATTTTATTGCTAATATTTCTTTATTTATGTAACATATATTTTATATATATAAACGAAAAACGCAAAAATAATACATATAAAGTAAAAAATTTAAATTCTGAGTTTGTTGAATTTGTATTAATACGGATTATAATACTGTAAGGTCAAAAATATAGGGTACCATTCAAAAAAATTAAGGAAGCCTTAAAAAACATTTTTAAAAAATTTGTTTAAACTTTTTTTTTATTGCAATGTATAGTCAATCAAAAACAGATAAGCTTTTGTTTAAAGTTTATTTTTGTAAGGTTATCGCAAATACTTGAAAAGTCATAAAAAGAGTTGCATAGGACACCCCAGCGACACTTACTTTGTACTTGACGAATATACTCGTGATCGGTCGATTTGTGTAATGGACAGCGGTGCGCATTTTCAAAACGGAACGCCACAGTTAACTGGTTAATAATATTTGTTTCGAAAATTTACGTTCGATCTAAAGTTATTCTTATTTAGATTTTATACATGTTTAATCTTTAATAACTCCAAATATATATTTATATTTAGAGATATTCGCGATTTTATTAAGGCAAAATATATATTTGTCATAAACGAAGTAATACCATTAAATCTAAAAGATTAAAAAGATTTTCTATATATTTTTTTTGTTTTTATATTCTAAACGAACAAAAAATATTTCTGACCTAAAAAAAGGGAAAAAATATAAGTTTAAACGTTTTACGTTCGATTCGACGGAACAGAAAAATAAAATAAAATCAAGAAAAATGGAAAAAAAGAAATAACAAGCTAAACGACTCGATTTTGGAGTGAATGCATCTCCAACAAAAGTTTTGTTCGATATGCCATATATGTGTAAGACACAAATGATAAGAGCATCAGTTCAAAGATACATTATTATAATCTGCTATGACGTTTTCTTCTTTCGCACAATTAAATAAAAAAGAAAAGGGGGAAAAATGAAAAATGGAAAAAATAACGAGGTACCGCAAGTAAAGCTGCCATTTACGAGATCGCGATCGAACGTTTTTTCACTTATGGTCAATACACGATCGATCATTGATCTATTTCCTACGTAATTCTTACTAATGTAATCTCGCGTGACTACGTAAGATCCTAATTGAACGTTGCCTCGCGTATGTTCTGATACATAAATACATACATACATACATACATACATACATACATACATACATACATACATACATACATACATACATACATACATACATACATACATANCATACATACATACATACATACATACATACATACATACATACATACATACATACATACATACATACATACATACATACATACGTGCATACGTAAAAAAAACATTACTGGATTTGTAATCCACTTGAAATCATTCAAAGTACATTGTCATTTTGGATATTTACTGTTGTTAAATGTGTTTTGTGAAAAAAAAAAAACAGAGACAGAGATAAAAAAGAAAAAGACATTTCTATCTCTTTTCTTTCTTTTCTTATGTCTCCCTTAATTTCATTCTACTTTCTTCCTTATTTTCTCGTTTTCTTTTTTTCTCTCTCTCTCTTTCTCTCTCTTTTTCTTTCTCACTTTCTCCGCTTTATTTTACGTTTTTCACTTCGTGTATATTCCATCTTGGATCTTATATTTTCTCGTTTTCTCGTTTTCTTGTTTCCCTGCTTCTATGTCCACATTTCTTTCCTTTTTTTTTTATCTTAACCCTCCCTAGGGAAATATCCGCAGAGCAATCAGCACTGCCGAAACAATGAGCTATCCTATCCTATACATCCTCTTTTTGTCTATCTCTTTCTTTGCTAACTTCCAAATATTTCTTGGATAAAGATATTTGCACGATTGAACCTTCCACGAACGTCGCGACGATTGAACCGCACATTTTTTTTTAATAACTTTTCTTTTTCTTTTTTTTTTGCACGAAACATGACTGTGCCTTTTTCTGATAACTCCGAAATGGAAGCTCGTAGGTACATAACGTATCTGCTACGTACAGAAGTTAAACGCATTTTGGTTGAAAAATTAGAGTTCGTTTGAGAGACAGTTTACGAAAAAGCTCGTTAATTTTCGCTTCCAAACTAAACGACTGTGAATGCTAGATTTCGTTAAAATCTGGAAAGTAAATGAACAAAGAAAAATAGGAGGGAAAAAGATTTATACATATATATAAATATGCGCAGATCAGATTCAAAAAAGGACGAATTATTTTGTTCAAAGAGAGACCAAAATTTGATCGTTCGCTCGACGTAAAACTCAACTTCATCGATATCGCGTAAAAATTTTGCTTCACTATTTAAACTCGCGTATACATTAATGTGTACGTACGTATACATATGATCCTATTTTTTACGAATATTCCTCTGTGTGTGTGTGTGTATGTGTTTTTCCTGTTAGATCAAAGGATCAAAAGAACTCTGGAAAATCGTTGCCGAAGTATCCGTAGAAAAAGGAAAACTATGAATGTCCGCGTTAGTATTGACTAAAAAGTTAGTACTTCCGATCTAAAATAGAAGTATAAAAAAAAACGAGTTCATCCAGCTACGAACATTTTCCTCTTATTTATTTCTTTTTTTTTTTCATTTTTTCTTTCTCATATTTCAATTAAATCGATTGAATAACCATGAATTTCGATGAAACAATAAAGATAATATTTATTAGTATTTAATTCATTCATTCATTCATCAACCTAAATGTATTCGTTTTATTGATTTTACATAGAAATTTCGATAAGGAAAATTTAATTAAACACCATTTATAATTAATTCATTTAAATTGTTCATCTTTCGATATCGCAAGGTATTCCTTGAAAGTTGATAAAAGTACAGTATTGGGTATTCAATTGTTACAAACATGTACGTACTGTAAGAAAGATCGAATGAATGTTAAAACACATTCAGTTCAGGTAATACGTTTTTTCATCCTTTCGTGTCCACTAGAAACGGTGTAGTAAACAGAAGCAGCAGTAGTAACAGCAGTAGTAGATGTAACAGTGGCAGTAGCAGTAGCAGTAGCAGTTACAACAGCAACCATGCTACCGATTTCCTTTTTATTTTGTTGTGTACTGTTTTACTCGGCTGGTGCTGGTGGTGCCAGCAGCACCATGCTTGACTCACACTACTGTAGAACATCCAGGGTGCATGAAACGAATAATTCTTTCGGTTGGCGTTCGAGCGAACGAAACGAAACGGAAAATCGAGAGAAAAGAGCCGCGTTGTGACCCACTTTTCGATTTGTCGTTAACCGGCATGCTTACTCGTTCTGGCCTTCATGCTAGGCCAAATTAAACCTTCCTAATATGTCTCTCTCTCTCTCTTTCTATTTCTTTCTTTTTTTCTTTCTTTATGCATATATATATTTTCCAAGAGCAAGCTCACTGATATCTCTGTTTAACACGGAAAGTTGAACATTTCTCTTTAACGTTTGCCTTGAATATTCTTTTTTACTTTCTTTTTTTTTCTTATCACTTTTCTCCTCGAGTTTAACCGAAACACTCTTCTCCACTTTTCTTTGCTACTCTTTACCCATTATTGCTATCTCATGGATGAAATTTTTGGAGAAACAATTTAAAAAAAGAAAAACATACCGTCAATTTC